TCAAACTTTACTATAAAGCTTCAATCATCAAAACAGCTTGGTATTGGTACAGGAACAGGCGTATAGATCAATGGAACAGAATTGAGATTCCAGAAGCAAAACCTCAATTTGTCACTTTTTCTTTTAAGAGTTTTTATTAATTGTTAAAGTGGTCTGGATCCCCAGACATTGAAGAGCTACTGATAAACATTCCTAGAAAATAGTATATTGTAGGTAAAGTCATTGAAATGGAAAAAAAAATCAAGCTATGTTCCTGGAAGAGGATGTGTAGACCATTTGACTTTGAGGGAGGTGGTCAGTGAAAAAGGAGTCAGACTGCAGAGTGTGAAGAATATATTTTTTATTTAGTATGTGGTGATAGGTGATAACTATAACTAAACTATATGTATAAACTATTGATATATAAACTATAGTGGTGATAGTGGAGTGGTTTATCTGACAATAGAACACAGGCAAAAGAGAGAAGGGACAGTACAATAAGGTTATGGTCCATATGAGAAATTATAGTTTAATTCTGCTGATATTTTTGTATATTCTGTTAAGAGTTCATGCCTTTTCCTTATAATTCCATTACATGCTAAATACCCTCTTCTCCCAAAAAAAGTTGTATATATAAATGACTGACACCCTCAAATAAATCACTTGTAAATAATGAAGAGATTGTCATAAATTTTGAAGGTTAGAATGGCCACATAGAAGCTATGCCATCTTTTACTTAATTTTCTCTTTGCCTGTTCTCAGTAATTTTACTTGTACTTTAGTCAAATCCTCAGATATATTTCCAAATAACTGATAAGTATTTCCAAGTTAGTAATCTAGCCATCACTATATTCATAGAATAAATAAGACATGAAAAATCCAAAGTACTTGAAAATTCCAGTATCATCTATAAGTCAAGATCTTGTGGCTGAACTATTATGGTCAAGATGGTTGGTCTCTCTCAACATTTTATATTTCTTTAATGCATTTTCTTGCCCTGTTTGGAACATTCTTCCACTCAGACTCCCACTCAAGCTGCTCCCCTTTTACTCTTGTATCTCTCTCTTTTTTTTTTGGTGGAATCTTGCCGAGGTCACAAGACTGTTTCCAGTGGTCTTATACTGTCCCCACTGATCTTATACTAAAGTCTGAACTCCTCATAGGGCCTGATCATTCCTGTCAACTGCCCTTATGTCTCACTCCCTGCACTCCAACCACATGGCCTCCTTGATCCCCTGAAGTTCATTTCATTACACAACCTTCACACATGTGGTTCCCTCTGCCTGAAACGCCCTTCTCCAGGATGTCCATCTCACTGGTACCTTCTCATCCCATTTGTTCTACTCTCAGTTCTGAGAGGCTTTCCCTGACCACTCTTTCTAAAAGGTAACCCCTCCCATCTCTCTTCTGCCTCCCTTCCCCCTCCCTTCTTCCTCCCTCTCTCCCTCCCTTTTTCCCCTCTCCTGCCTCTCTCTCTCTTTCTCTCTCTTTCTCTCTCTCTTTCTCTCTCTCTCTCTCACACACACACACACACACACACACACACACACACACACAAACACACACACATACACACACACACACAAGATAGCCCTCATAGATCCCCCATTTATATTCTTCCTAATGTCTCTCCCATTCTGAAATGTCCTGGTTTGTTTGCTTACTTACTTGTTTGCATTTCTCTTTGGAATGTATGCTCCTGGCATCAGGAAACTTTGTCAGCTGTTATGTCACCAAAACTTATTAAGTGTTGAAGTAACATTTGTCAAAGGGAAAGGTCTATCCTGGACTCCATCTATGTCTTGGCTCCCAAAGAGTAAGGAACAGCTACAGTTGTCTGCTCTTAGCTGGGAACTCACCCTCCTGTCTGCTTCAGTTTAAGACAAACACGAATAACACATATTCAGAGGAAGATGTAGATCTCTCTGCAGCTGGGATGGTCAAGGAAGCATTAATTCTGGAGGAGGAGGGTGTAATCTTAAGGGTGATACTTGGGCTTACTTACTTGAGTCCAGTTGGTTGGAGGATCTCATCTAATGTGCGTTAAAGGGAAAGTGTACCTTGCCAAGTGTCTTTGTCTTTATGGTAGTTCTCAGCAAGACATCTATCATTTGCAGAAAAGAAATCTGGTCCAGTATTCCCTACAATAATTTTTTCCACCTGCCTTGGAAAATGGGCTAATAGTTTGGGAATTTATACCACTTGGAACAGAATAATAAAGTCATTATATTTTTCAGCAGTTTGGTGAATATCTGTCTCCTTCTCTGAACTATATGTTCCATGACAATGTTGACTTTGACTTTCATTTGCTCGCAACTCTATTCCCAGGACCTAGCAGCGTGTCTGGCATATAATAGACACTCAGGAAACACTCCTTGAGTGAATGTAGTGAATTGATCTCTGAGCCTCTAGATATGCACCCATCTTCCCCATAC